TTTAGATCAATTGGAGCTGCTCTTCTATAAGCACTCGAAAGTTATTTCAATTTATCTGACATTGGACTGACTTTTTTATAGCATTTCTGCCTCCAGATAACTCATATACATATTTATGTATGCAATATATTTTATATGCATATCTTTATATATTTATCAAATATTGAAAAAAAAAAAAAAAGTTATAGCTTTTGATTTCTTCTTCAAAATCAAATCAATACCCTATACTAGACTATCTATACTATATAGACCATCTATAAATCTATCTATATTCTATAATCTGCCGTTTGCCATTAAAATCCTTGGAAATGTTCAAATAATGTAATACAAATATCATCAGCATTATTATCTATATTTATCTCTCAGCAATCTCTTTATCCAAATTATCCTTTACACTCGTACACATTCAGTTTATGGCATTCGTTTTGCTTTAACCTCAGCCCATATTATGTTCACCCCCTCTTCAAATGTCTCCCTCTCTGAACTAATTGCAGTGGAGTCTCGTTGCCGTTGTCGAGGACATTTTCTCGCTGTACAAGGAAAGCGAACAGCTGGTGCGCTTGGAAATCGTTGGCTTTCCCAAGGGATATCACATGCGGTTCGAGGCGGAGCATGAAATGAAGTCGTTCATATCATATTTGGGCATTTACATAAGGTAACTAGACAAGGCTGTAGCAATTAAAAAAAAAACCTATAACTAACACTAATATTATTTCAGATTAACTGTCAAATGGATGCAGGACCTGTGTCCATCGTATAAGACACCCTCGCTCGAGGAACTGGATCGCTTGTATTGCCATGGACCCATTGGTGGCGGCTACTCGTTTATGAAACTGCACGAGAACGGCGACAAGTGCGGCAGTTATATAGTGCGGCAGTGCGATCGGGAATATAACACATATTATATTGATATCAATACGAGAATGTAAGCCACACACACCCACATATTGATATGTGTATAGAACAAATATTTATAGCCTGAACCAGCAGGGTTCGAGGAAATGCATGTAACAGGCAGAAGAAGGCGTGGTATAGACCATAAAGTATATGTAGTCCGTCCGTTTGACTCTCATTATATATAAATACGTCGCTCTCAGGATCTATAAGAAATGGAGACTTGAAATCTATTTTATAGCAAACTTTATAGCAAGTGTAGATCTAGTTCCTTTACATTAACCGATCACTCCCGATTCGAATCTAATGCTATCGATTAAAATACTTATATTAATTCAGTTATATCTTGCACATCATTGAAGCTAGAGGCTACAAATTTTGTATTTAGTTTTCTGTTTACTTGATAAAGTATTGACTTTAGTTCTATTTGTGGTAACCAAATTTACTAAACTCAGGGTATCTTCCAGTCGGGCATACCCCATATCGTACTCTTACTGGTCTTTGACTAAATGACATTTACACACATTTTGCAGCGTGGCGAAGAACAGCGATCACGAACGCTGCCAAACGGAAACGTTCAAGATAATACGCAAGGACAAGCAATGGAAGCTGGCCTACAAGAGCAACGAGCACTACTTCGATCAGCTATCAGAGCTGGCGCAATGCATACACACCGATAGTCCGGATCGCATACGGATACCGGCATCGAAATATGATAAGCCGCCGTTGTTGCTGCTCTGCTTGCCAAAAAATTTGAAAACCAAAAAGACTGAAGCGGAATTGAGTGAAGCGGAATTACAACGACGTAATCCGCAGATCTTCAATCCGAAAACTGACCTACAATGGTACAGAGGTAAGATGAAGACATTGATCTATGATTTCGTGTTTGCTTATTTCATTCAACCTGCGCATCTTCCTGCCACAGACTCGATTAATCACAGCGACGATGACAAGATGTTCACAATGCGCGGCGACTGGATACAGCAGGGCTCGTTCAAGGATGTGCCCGTCACCATGAAGATGTTGAAGTACGATGCGAACTTTGTGGAGTTCATGCAGCTGGCGCAAACGTGGAGCCTGATCCAGTCGCCCCAATTCATCAAACTGTACGGCCTAACGCTGTCGGTGCCATATACCATGGTCATGGAGTACTCGAAATACGGACCGCTGAATAAGTTTCTGCAAATGAATCCGAACATTAGCATGTACTGCCTGCTGGATGTGATGCACGGTCTGGTGCGCGGCATGCACTATCTGGAGGACAATAAGATCATACACAGCTACATACGCTGCGCCAACTTGTATGTTACCAAATACAGTTCCGAGAAGTATGTACTCGATGCCAAAATCAGCGATCCAGGCTATCCACGTCCATACAAGCAATCCGAGTGAGCAGCCAGTCAACCCATTCGAATAGACACAGCAGAGACTTATTTGAATATTTTTACATCCGTTCTATTGTAGCTCACCTTGGATACCGATCAAGTACTACAACAACTTGGAGGCTGCCAAGCAGGATTCGAGCACACAGCTGTGGGCATTTGCCACCACCATCTATGAGATATTCTCGCGTGGCCAGCTGGCGCTGGAGCAGCTGAAGCAGCGTGATCTCATACGCCATCGGTCCATTGATGGTGGCATATTGGCGCCACTGGATCCGCGTCTCTGTCCCCCCGAAATGTACAGCACCATCATGGATGGCTGGAGCGATGATCCGGACAAACGATTCAGCCATCACGACATCTTCACTCGATTGAATACGGTCAAAAATCGTTTGCAACGCAACTACGATGTGCCTGACACAGAAATGGAGTCGTGTAAGTGGAGATTACTAAGCGTTACGATGTGTGTCTATGATTGGGCTGAAGTCGCCAGAGGGTTTAGAGTAAAAGGCTGTATTATATATGCATAAAGAGCAGTAGTTCTAAGCATGTGTGGATAGATTACGCTACTGTTTTAGAAAGGGACATAGAAGAGGTGCCAAAAGGCATATCATAGAAACAGAGCTGAAAGATGAATGAATGAATAGGCAGAGTACAATAATATATGTACTGTATGTATGTATGTAGGATATTTAAGAAAGTGAAAGATTATATTATATCATATCATATCAGACTGATAGATAGTCAAGGCTAATGTTTTATAAAGTGGATGTAGAAGGTGCTGAGGTGCATTAGGACATATCAGATAAAGATGGAGCTGGGTGACTATTGAGAGCATATCATTTAGGATATTTAAGAAACTCAAGAAGATAATTTAAATAATTAGGAGCACATATCATAATGAACATAATACAATATATAAGCTCTCGCAGTTAAAAGTTGCCAAATGTTTATTGTATATATTTACTGTGCATATATATACACCAAGTTCTCTAGACAAGGACAGGACAACTCATGCTGCTATCACCTCATCAGACTTTCAATCCAACTCTAAGCTAGAGCATTTTTACTGAATCATTTACTCAATCTTCATTTCCATTTAGTCGACTACTCGGATGGCTATGGCTATGGCATGGCCAATGGCCGCCTCCATTCGGTCGACACGGACAGCCTGACGCTGTGCAACGGAGCCGTTGGCCTGAGCAGTGAATTCTTTGCCAATTCGCACGATCTGCCGCTGGTCATACAACTGTACGACTGCAAGGTCATCTATCGCGAGAAGCACAAAATTGGCCAGGGCCACTACGGCACCGTTTACCGGGGCGAGCTCGAATATCACGACAAGGATCGACCCAAGGAGCAGGTGGCCATCAAGAAGCTCAAAACTGTGCAGGTGACCAATGATTTTCTGCGCGAAATCGACATCATGCGCAAGCTCGATCATCCCAATGTGGTCAAGTTCAAATATTGGGCCGAAAAGTCACTGAGCATCATCATGGAGTACTTTGAGTTTGGCTCGTTCATTGTCTATTTGAGCTCACGCAAGCCCAGCCTCACCAATGCCCGCCTCCTAACCTTCGCCCTGGACATAGCCCACGTGAGTACAAATTTGCTGTATGCATATGGAATCAATTGAAGCAACATTTATGGCTTGCAGGGCATGAACTATTTATCGGGCAAGGGTCTGATACATCGCGACCTGGCAGCACGCAACATTCTAGTCGATCGTTCATGTGTGAAAATCTCTGATTTTGGCCTGGCGCAGTTCGCCAATGCCGATGGCTACTACTACGGCATCAGTCAGCGGGATATACCAATTAAATGGTGAGTGGCAAATACATTCATTTCAAATTCAATTTCATTGAACTTCATTCCGCTCCACTCCACTTGCAGGTACTCGCCGGAAGCTATCGAAACCTGCAAATTTTCATCGTATTCCGATGTGTGGAGCTATGGCGTGACGCTGTTCGAAATGTTCTCACGCGGCGAAATACCAAATCTGGTGCCGGGACAAGATTTGACGCAGGAAGAGTTCCTAAATCGACTGCGGGCGGGCGAACGGTAAGTGGCCTCAATTTACGCAAACTCTGATTCTAACTCGATTGGATTTTTGCAGGCTACCTAAGCCTGAGCTATGCTCGGATTTTGTCTACAATGAGCTGATGCGTCCTTGTTGGCATGAGACGCCCAAATCGCGTCCATCATTTCAGCAAATTATACAAATCATAACACGCGAAACTGGTGATAATATTGCTGCCGCAGCGGGCAATCAGCAACAACAGCAACAGCAGCAGCAGCAACAACAACAACAGCAGCTGCAGCAGCAACAACAACACCAACATCAGCAGCAACAACAACAGCAACAATTCAACAGAAGTATAACGTTAGAGAACGAATGACATGAATCATTGGCAGAAACGGGCGAGCAGATAACATAATGAGCGCATGGTTCATGTGTATAAGATAGTGCGCCCCAATCTGATATTGGAAGAGGGCGTGTTCGATATGACAGCAGCATTGAAATTGCATTGTTAATGTTTTCTTTTTATCATTTTAAGTTGTTATTTTTTATCTTAACTACTTAAACACAAACAACTTCACACACACACACTCACACATAGACGTTTCTAAAACGTCGGACGCACGTGCTTTACGGCAACAAAGTTTCATTTGAACTTAAGCTATATTAATATACGTCATCATCATCAACTCACATACATCGCCTGATGTTTTTTTTTTATTTCACACATTTTACCTTCTAATCGGATTCTCATTTTAGTTTGTTATAACATTTAGACAACATTTGTTACATTTTGCTTAGCTTGATATATACATATATATAAAGAAAATATATAATTAAAAATGTACAAAAGTGGCGTGCACGCTGTATTTGAAGTCCACTTATATATGTTTAAATCTAATCAAGCCAATATATAAAAACGTATTTTATGTAACAGTTACTCAACAAATATCTGTGCACATATAGTTAATGTATATGTTATGTATATTATGTATAAAAAATAAACAATAAAAACGATTGACAACGCGAGTCAAGCATACTTTATATATATACATATATATATGCCATTTGAAACCAATAAAAATGAATTGATGAAGTAAATTAAAATGAAATGTTTTATTTTGAGAGTGAGAGTGAGAGAGAGAGAGAGAGAGCGAGAACAAGTCATGGTTCTCATAGACGAGTGAATGCAGCAATTTGAAAGGGAAACATAATTGAAGAGAAAGCGAGATAGCTATATTACATATGCCCTCATATAAATGGCATATTTAGATGTAAGTTTAACAGCCATGGATATTATCAATATCGAGTAATAGATCATTTTAAAGCTCATCAACATTTATGATAATCACAAAGAGAGGCAACAAATATGAAATATCATTTTAGCTTCAGTTGGATTTAATATGTACAAAGTTATATATATGATTTATTTAGAAATAAACTAAAACACTTCTCAAATGAAACAAAAAATTTAATTATGCCTTTTCTAGTTCTTAGTCAAAATTAAATACATTTATAGCAATAATAAAATGTTTACCACGTCTTCATCTCCTATAGTCACAGAAAAATGAAAGAGAGCGAGATAGATATACATAATATTGGAAAGAATGAAACATAAATATTTCATGACAGAAAGTTAGTCAAATATGTATGTATATACATATGTTTTTAGACAAGTAGTTAAGTATAGCTTATAACTAAATCGTATTGCATTATTGACTGAGTTGAAAAAGTCTACAACGTTGGCATTATATTCTATCTTATAACAATATTCCGATATTCTATGAAGTTTATCAATTGAAAATACAGTTCAATAACCGGAAGTATTACAGTACTTAATCTAGATAAAATAGCATGATTTTAACACCTACATGTAATTGAATTTTCATTTAGTTGGCTCTACATACATATACAGTAGAACAGCGGATTTCATTGTATTTACATATCTGACTATTCTCTTATCGTCTAACTATCAGCGTTATTGTATGCTAGGAGCCCTCAGTCTTCTTCTTCTTAAGCGTCTCCATAACGCCGGCAAAGTTGGCCGTCTTCTTTTTGGCGGACTTCGGCGTCGAGGTCTGGCTGCGTACACGCATTTGAGTGGGGGCAACATCGTCGCTGAAATCAAAATCGTTTGCCTTCTGTGGTCTGCGATTGATAGTAAATAAATAATTAGAAATCGAATCTATCTCTCTTTCTCTCTCACAGTGTTGACTTACTCTTGTTCCACAGTTTCGGCCGCGGCTTCCAATTCCTTACTGTTGCTCCCGGCATTGGCATCCGGCGAAGGCGGGCGACGTCCAGGGAATTGCCATTGTAGCTCTGGTATATTGCCCGCTTCGAGCATTAAATAATAGTTCTCCAATTCTTCAGCATTTGCTGATGTTTTATCAACCGCCGCCGAGTTTTCCACTTCTGCAGCCATATTTTGTTTCGTCTAAATTTACATTAACTCGATAATTAACTATCGATATCGATTGCAGTCAGTGCAAACACAGTGTTGGAAGGTTGCCAATTTGGCGCTTCATTTGAATTGAAATTGCTATTATTGTGTTTATCCAATATTTTGTTACAAGAATTGATCAAATTGAATGGAAATCTAAAATGCCATCTGATTAATAGCCAGCCATGCTGTAAACAAAACTTACTTAGCAGACATATAATGCACTTAGTCCATACAAAGATTGACGACCGCAACACAATATAATTTACTGAATTTCTCCAAATTTATTTTGCTGTTAAATAACTGCTTTAACAAAAATATCTTTGATATTCCCTCAGCGCATGCAAATATAAACATCAAGATTATTTGTTATATTTTTTTATTTTTTTGTTTGTTTTTTGCTTTTTGATTACTAAATTCTTAGAACTTTATTCAAAATTATCATCTCATTCTTATACTCATTTAACTGGCTTACATTCATCCAACATGCGATGTTCTCTCTCATTTTGCCTGCGGGCCGCGTGAGCAGCCTCATCAAGCGCAATTCGAACTAATTTCTAGTTGACACTGTATCCATTGTATCATCCAGCTGCATCTCATATTCATCATCGCCATCTCCATCTTCGTCTCCATCATCATTATCAGCATGACTTATAAATATACATATTATATTGTTTGTTTGTTGTATACTCGTATATGTATAAAAAGAATAATTATATTAATTAATTAATTAATAATAAACACACAATTTCATTGCAAAAAATTTCTACAATACGTAATTAAATACGGATACGTCCTGATCGTTGGTATTGCCACCGCCACCGCCGCCACCACCGCCTCCTCCGCCGCCGCGATTCGATGAGCCCGACGATTTGTTGGAGCCATGGGCAGCGATGGTCAGCTGATTGGTCTGATGTATGACAGAGGTGATGTCGCTTTGCGATGCAGATATATCCTTGCTGGTGAGCACATCGGAGCTGCTCGAACCGGACGAGATGTGACGCTCGGCGATGCCGTACTGTATCGGCTGATAGCCGTGACTTGGATTGTACGTAGCCGAGTATGGCATATAGATCGGCGGATTTGGCAACGGCCCAATGTCGCTGGTGATGCTCTCCGTGTCGGCATGGCTCAGCGCATGCGCCAGCGGATGCATCTGGGCACGCATATTTGGATTGCGCTCCTCATTCACCACATAATAGCACTGCTCGGAGAAGGTCAGCTTATTGACCGTGTGCTTAATGTAATTGTTGCGCAGCATGGCGGACACAATGCGGCGCGCCTCCCGCCGATCCTGCACATCCTCAACGTTCTCCAGCACCCAGTTGACCGCATCGGCGCCAATGAACGCATTTGGTATGGTGATCTTTAGCCACATGCGATCGCGTATCTCCAGTCCGCTATCCGGCTTCGTCATGGCCTTGACAATCTCCTCGAGATTATTCTGATCGAGCCGCTCTTTGATCGGCTCCGGTATATCCGCCATAATACTGTCATGCGAGGTTAGCGCCTGTGTGTGCGCCACCCAGGCGCCCGGATCGATGGGCCGGACCGGCTCCGTTCGTGGTATGGTAAAGTAACCCTTTGGATTTGGATCCCAGCATTTGGCCACCACCAGCTTGATGGGTCCCGGCTTCTGGACCACTTCGCGCAACACACGCACCGCCTCATCATTGGTCATATTCTCAAAGTTCACATCGTTCACTTGCAGGATCATGTCACCAGGCTCAATCCGGCCGTCCAGCGCTACGGCGCCGCCCTTCATGATGCTGCCCACATAGATGCCGCCGTCGCCGCCGCGATTCGATTGTCCCACAATGGATATGCCCAAAAAGTTGACCGCCTCCATATTAATCGAAACGGTGATAATGTTCAGCGACATGGTCGAGTCCGTGATGGAGCTGTATGATGAAGTGCGGGACATGCTGGGCGCCCGCTTTTTGCGACGTTGCGGCTTCTTGCGCACCTGCAGCCGCTGCACGCTGCTATAGTCGGTCATATCGCGATCCAATGTCAGCTCCGACTCGGTGCCAAAGAGACTGGTGGAGTCCAGATCGCTCGATAGCACCGAGGCCGATTGATATGTGAGTGGCGGCGGCTGCAGCATTTGCAATGGTCCGAGCTTATGTTGTTGTTGTTGCTGCTGTTGCTGCTGTAGCTGTTGCTGCTGTTGGTGTTGCTGCTGTTGTTGCTGCTGCTGCTGTTGCTGGTGTTGTTGCTGCTGCTGCTGCTGGAGCGCCAAGTGATTACGCACACGCATCTCGCATTCGCTGGGCGGCAGCTCGGAACAATTGTCCGACTGATTGGTGCCATCGGCCGAGACCAGCCAGGAGACGACGCGTCCGTTGAAGCAAGGCAGTATTGTGGCATCGTCCGCAATTTCCTCTTTGACCACACCGAAATCAGCGTCCATTGACTTGAAGAAATATTTATAATTGTTGTTCTGTTTGTTGAGCACCATTTTGAAGTCTTTGAGCGTGACCTGAGCAGATGGTATCGGGATTTTGACCAGATACGGTGTGCTCTCATCGTCAATGTGATAAATGACTTTTGTCTCTTGGCTATTTGGTCTCTCTGTATCCATTGTGGCTGAATTTCAATTCGATTCAACCAATTGTATTACTATATATTTTTGTATATATTTATTTAATATATATGGTCTACACTCTTTTTCGCTGCACAAACTCGCCAAATTTTCGTGTAGTTTTCCCTTTTTTTGTTCTTTCTTTCTTTCTACTTTTTTTTTACTTTTTACATGTATGTACTCCTCTCGCTTATGCTTTTTGGGTTGGGTTGTCAATGGAGCCGCAGCAGCTCTCCGCCTCCTTCATTTGTAGTTTTTTTTTTTTGGCGTTCCACTGCGTTTATTGCGGCTCAACAATGCTTGGCGAGCATTTGCGGGCGTTTTTTTCACGCGTTCGCACACTTTGCAATATTGTGTACAATTGTTTTTTTCTTGGGCGTTTAAATTTATAATTTTTGGGGAGACAAAATATATATATATAGGTAAATAATTGACAGCGCTAGACTGATATCGATACACGTATCGAACCAGGGATGCTGCCACGCTTACCCAAAAACACAAAAGATATATCGCAACTGGGCGATAGCTATCGATAGGCGTATGTTTAGAACAATTGTTGTTGAGAACAGAAAAATAATAATATGAAAAGTTTTCTCTTATAATCAAAGGAGTAATAAATATGTTGAACTTATGTTATTATTTTTCTAGCTAAAAGTTAACTCTTCTGTAAATACTCAGTACTTATCGATTTTTTTTTTGTATTCATAAGTTGTAGAAACAAGTGTATGCCCATTATGTGTTTGCTGCCCAACTATTTTTAGCCGCTAACTATGCAGCTATGTATTTGCATTTTAGTACAATGATTTATATTAAGATCCAATGAAGACCCGATTAAATTTTATAGCAGTAGAAGTGTGTACACACTGGCCAGAATTGTTCCATTATCATTACAGATTAAATTAATATTTTTTATATATGTTAATTTTCCCCCCTATTTAATAGAATAAAAAGTCATTCATAGTATTGGATATTTGATATTATGTTTAATCAGTAAATGGTCACAAAAAAAGATCAGTTTAAAAGGAAAAAATTTAAAGTAGTTTGAACGAAAGTATTTAAAATATGTTCTTTTTTGTTATTTTCTTTTCACATAATAAAATCAAATCATTTTATTGATTACGCCCTTCATTGCTTTACATAGAAATAAAAAATTAAATATTTTATTGATTACACATTCTCATCGCTTTACATAGAATTAAAATTATTATTATTTTATCGTTATCATTATCATTATCATTATCATTATTATTAATATTATATTACACCGGCCATTTGGGTGTACAATGGTTATTTTGTTTTATTACATCGAATATTAATCAACTAAACATGAATTTTTTCATTTGCAAATTAAAAAGTGATATTTATCATTTCAAAACGTAATCCTACGACTATATATATATGTATATATATGTATGTTTTTTTTTAAGTTATGTTAAAATTATACATTTCACACTGAAAGTCATTCGTCCATTCAGAGTTTTGAAACAGTTTATATAGATACCTCCATATAGATTTCCAGGATTTTCTATCGGTAATTGGATTTAGTGAAGTTTACCTTGAAATCCGTTTTTTTTTTCTTTCTTTTTTTTATTACATTTATGTAGATATAACGAACAGCTAAAGTTACTATTACGCTAAAGTAACTATTACAACTAATTTAAATCGAATAAAAAAAAATAGATTATAGATAATCCAAAAAAAATAGAATATATGTACATA